GTCAGTGAGCCGGCACGCACCCCACACCCTCCATGACTGTGCACCCCGGGGCCGGGGCTGTGCCCAGCGCTTTGCAGGGGGGTGTCCATTCCCAGCTGCCGTGATGAAGCCCCACAGACGGGGCGGCCTAAACAGCAGATGTTTTTTTCCTCACAGTTCTGGCTGCATGTCCCAGACCAAGGGGCTGCCCTGCTTGGTTCTAGGGCAAGGCTGTCTGCCCGGTTTGGGTGTGCCTGGCCCCTTTCGGCTGTGTCCTCTCTCGTGCAGAGACAGAACCAGCCATCCACTGTCTCTTCTGCCAAGGATGCTAATCCTATCAGATCAGGGCCCCACCCTCACAGCCTCATTTAACCTAATCACCTCGTAAAGACCCATCTCCAGACAGTCACACTGGGGGTTAGGGCTTCAAGGTAGCACAGACCCTCAATGCTTAGCTGGGAGAGCTCTTCACCAGCTTCTTTGAGGATGGTTATCCCTATCGTGCGAGCTTCCCAGGTGGCGCTAGCGGTAAAGAACCTACCTGCCAAATGCAGAAGACATAGAAAATCAGGTTCCATCCCTGGGTTGGAAAGATCCCCTGGAGAAGGAAATGGTAACCCACTCCAGTATTCTTGCCTGGAGAATCCCATGGACAGAGGAGCCTGGTGGGCTACAGTCCACGGGGTCACAAAAAGCCGGACATGACTGAAGCGGCTTAGCACACACGACACACACATCCCTGTCATAGAAGGAGAACCTGAGTCACGGGCAGTGAGAGGAGGGTCCTGGATGCAGCTGGTAGGGTCAGAACTGGGCAGAAATCCCCCACGGCAGAGTCTGCAGTTACCGTGTCTCACGTACCCCAGAGCGGGTCTCCCCTGGGGCCTGGAGGCGGGCAGGTAGGAGCCGTGAAATGGGGATGGGAGCGGCTGACAGAGCCCCCAGGATGATTTTGGCACCCCGCTGAACGCCAACGGGACTGCCGTGTAACAACACAAGGCTTCCATCGTATGTACACACATGTCCCTGATGGGCCTTTTCCGTATAATTCCTTCTTGCGTGCTAAGTCGCTTCAGTCATGTCCAACTCTCTTGTGACCCCATGGACTGTAGCCTGCCAGGCTCCTCTGTCTGTGAGATTTTCCAGGCAAGAAGTGGGTTGCCATGCCCTCCTCCAAGAGATCTTTCCTACTTAGGGCTGGAACCCACATCTCTTATGTCTCCTGCATTGGCAGGTGGGTTCTTTACCATGAGCAACACCTTGGAAACCTAATTCCTTGTCCACTGTGGTTAAATAAGTAAAACAGAGCAAATGTTTGACCGTCTTGAGCATGCAGTTAAGGTACGCATCTCAGTAGCGTTAAGCACGTTCACATCCTGCACGAGCGTCACCCGCACCCGTGTGCAGAACTTCCCATCTCCCCAAACTGACACTCTGTCTCCATTAGCCCTCTCCCCGTCCCCTCCCGCAGCCCCCACCATCTGCGTTCTGTCTCTGTGAACTTGACAACCCTAGGGACCTCCTACAAGTGGAATTGCATAGAATCAGATCTTACTTCCCTCAGTGTACTGTCCTCAAGTTCATCCAGGTTGTAGCTGTGTCACAGTTTTCTTCCTTTTTAAGGCTGAGTAATGTTCTCTCGTCATAGCTTTCAAAAGCTATAATAAACCTAGGCACCATATTAAAAAGCAGAGACATCACTTTGCAGACAAAGGTCCCTCTGGTCAAAGCTGTGGTTTTTCCAGTGGTCATATATGAATGTGAGAGTTGGACTATAAAGAAGGCTGAGCACCGAAGAATTGATGCTTCTGAACTGTGGTGCCGAAGAAGACTCTTGAGAGTCCCTTGAACTTCAAGGAGATGAAACTAGTCAATTCTAAAGGAAATCAACCCTGAATATTCACTGGAAGGACTGATGCTGAGGCTGAAAGCTCCAATCCTTTGGCCATCTGATGTGAAGAGCCGACTCATTGGAAAAGACCCTGATGCTGGGAAAGATTGAAGGAAGAAGGAGAAGGGGACGACAGAGGATGAGACAGTTGGATGGCATCACTGACTCAGTGGACATGAGTTTGAGCAAGCCCTGGGAGATGGTGAAGGACAGGGCAGCCTGGCATGTTGCAGCCCATGGTCGCAGAGAGTCGGACACGAGTGAGTGACGGAACAGCGGCAGCAGTTTCCCCTGTGTAGATGGAACACGTTTTATCGTTTCATCCGTCAGGGAACACGGGATGCTGTGAACACAGGAGTGCAGGTCTCTCTTCAGGACCCCGCTCACTTTTTGGCTCCACGAGTGGAGCCTTGATGTGAGCAAGTTTATATAAAGCCCTTGCTCTCCCGGATGAGATGGACTGAAAACTCAGGCGAGCTGGGTTGTCTGCATGCTCAGAAAGCAGCAGGGGGTAGGATGCGAGCCCTGCCCTCCAAGCAAGACTCTTAAGTGACGGGAGTCACTTTGCCCTGGAAAACTCCCATGCGTTCTTCACAACCCAGTTGAGATACCTGCCCTCAATCAAGCCTTTCCTTGATGAGCCCCTGAAAGAGTGAGTTGTGCTTTTCACACCATAGCCCTTTGCAGTACAGCCCAGGGGAACTGCCCAGAGCCAGGCCATTATTAGGCCTTACCTCTCTTCCCTGCAGGCGTCCCCTTGCCCCTTGGGCCCACCTTCTCAGGGACACAAACCACCATCTCTCAGGGTGCCCCCTGATCCTGGCACAGGAGAGCAGCTTGGCCAGATGGGGCTGGGGAAGCATTTCAGTCTGACTTCAAGGGATTTCCTGAAAGCTGCTGGCCTGCTCTTTAATGAAAGCATATTGATGGGATTTGCACACAGCTGGGGCCCTAGGTGTTCCAAGGTACAGGGATGCTGGAATGGATTTATTAGCGCGGGGATATCTTGCTCGGCTGGGCTAGAAAAACACACGTCACGAGGCTTGGCTTTGGCTGGTAAAACATCTGTGCCAACATGTGCTTCTTAATTATTGCCTTAGATGGGGAAAGCATTCCTTAATTTTCCCTGGTAGATTTTAAGCATATTTTATTATGGGGAAAAAAAAAAACCTAAACAGAAAACTGTTTTCTGTCTCTTGAAATAATGGAGGACGGGATGATCTTTGAAAGTGTAACCTTTTTTATTGGAATGTTGGGAACCTGTATTCTGAGTTATTTCTGGGGCTGGGATCCCCCTGTGTCCTCTGGACCTGTCCTCATCCCAAGCACCGATGGCTTTGGGATGACCCAGAGCCGCCCAGGGCTCGTAGGAAGACCCTGCCTCTCTTGCCTTGGGTCAGAGAGGCCAGCAGACTTTTTCTATGAAGAGTCACTGAGTGAGTATTCTGGCTTTTCAGACCACATGGGCGTCTTCACAGCTACTCCACTCTGCCTCTGCAGTGTGAACTTAGCCACAGACGATATGCAGATTAATGTGTGGCTGTGCGCCAATAAAACTTTATTTATAAACCAGGCAGCGGGCCAGTTTAGCCTGTGGGCCCCAGTTTGCCAGGCCCGGGCGCAGAAGGCTGCATCTGGTCTCTCAGCAGATGTAAGTTAAGGGCAGACTCCCTGCTCTAGGCCACGTGCCTTCCTCCCAGCGTGCTGGGGAGCCTGGCCGGGGCGTGAGGGCTGTCTCCTCTCCGGGGTCCTGGGCCCGCCTGCTGCCATCCAGCCCTGCCCACCTGACCCTCCGCAGCAGCACGGGTAGAAATGCCTTTGGGGCCCCTGCTGTTTTGGACACCCAGCCTTGCATTCTGTCCCAGAGGCCATCATGGAGGGTCACAGACTCGCTTGGTGGCCCGTGGGTTCTGGACAGCACGTCCAGTTGGGAGTCGGTGAGTGTTCTGGGATCCAGCCTCCTGAATCCCTCGTGCCCCTCCCTGGGATGCTAGTGCGACCTTTAATCTTTTCCCTCAGCGGCCCCACTTCCCAACCATCGAGAAAAGCTGGTACAGATGGCATCTCAGTGTAATTCAGAGACACACAGCTCCGTGAACACTAGCATCCTTCTGATGAGCCGTCCTCGGGGGGACAGAGGGATCAGGGGTCCCCCAGCCTCTGTCATGCACACCTGGCAATTGTGTTGATACCTAACACGAGGCCCTGTCCTCCCCAAGTCACCAGAGTGCTGGCCTCCTCGCTGAGTCCACTTCCTCTTTCTGCACACACGGGATGTGTGAGGCTGGGCTTAGGGCCAACGAGAGAAACTGCTTCAAGCAGAAGGAGGTGTTGTATAGGGCACTCTGGAGAGTGATGCTGAGAAATAGACTCTCCTGGGGTGTCAACCTGGTGCCTTTGGGTCAGGACAGGAGCCAGGGAAAGGGATTAAGAAGCTGCCTCAAGACAGAGCTGCAATGCAGGGAGACATGGCAGTCTGGGTTCCAGAAAATCCCTCCTCTGTAATGTGGAGATAATTATACCTAACTGGCAGGGCTGCTAAGAGGCTTAAAATAGAAAACAAACATATGGTATGCCTGGCATGCGGTAGATTTTCAGTAAAAGTGACTATGATGGTGGTGATGATGGATGGTGACTGGTGATGAAGGTGATGATTATGGTGGTGACTATGGTGATGATAATCAAACCTATGGTTTTCCCAGTAGTCACGTACAGAGTTGCACTGTAAACAAGACTGAGCATTGAAGAATTGATGCTTTTGAATTGTGATGCTGCAGAAGACTCTTCAGGGTCCCTTGAACGACAAGGAGATCAAACAGCTCAATCTTAAAGGAAATCATCCCTGAATATTCATTGGAAGGACTGATGCTGAAGCTGAAGCTCCAGTACTTTGGCCACTAGATGCAAAGAGCTGACTCATTGGAAAAAAGAGCTGACCCTGATGCTGGGAAAGATTGAGGGCAAGAGTTAGAAAAGGGGCGACAGAGGACGAGGTGGTTGGATGGCATCACCAGCTCAATGGACATGAGTTTGAGCCCACTCCAGGAGATAGTGAAGAACAGGGAAGCTTGATGTGCTGCAGTCCATGGGTTGCAAAGAGTCGGACACAACTGAGTGACTGGACAATAAA